GAAGAATAGGCTTCAAACTTTATGTAATAACCAAACGTGAAACAAAACACCCAAACACCCCTTTCAATTTATTTATTTATTATATATATATATATTACACTTTTCACGTGAACAGTTCACGTGAATCCAGAATTTTTTTTAAATTTTTTTTTAACCACTTGTTCTTTGCTTGAATTCTTTTATGTAGATAAAATTATATTAAATCAATATTCAAGGAAGGCTCTACAGTCAACTCAAACATACCTAAAGATTATAACTTTCATTACCTACTTTCTCCATTTTTAAGAAAAGCACTTTTAATCATAACAGTTGTGTCACTGTTCATATTATATAATGACGTGTGAACCATGACAATCACTATTCACGTCTCTCCATTTATTATTATTATTTATATATATATATATATATATATATATATATGTATGTATATGTATATATATGTATATGTATATGTATATATATATATATATTATTTATTATTTTTTTAAACTGTTCACGTCTGCAAAATTTTATTTTATTTTTTTTTAAAAAACTAAATTATGAGAATACATGTGGGTCTACAAGAAATTAAACCTATGCTCTGATACCAAACTGTAATGATCCAAAATTTAAAGATTTAAGATCGTTACTAAAACATTTATTTCATAATTAAATAAATGATGTCAAACATTCTATGGAAAACATAATTAACTGAACCATGTTTCAAATATTAAATTTCAAGTTTAACATGAAGATAAAACTGAAATAACTTAAAGAAAAATAAATAAATAAAACTTCCTAATCATGTTACTCAGAATTTACTTATCTTGAATTCCATAGTTTCTGGCATCACAATTCCACCGCACTGCCCGCCAACCAACGACCCATTCTAATCTGTGAGGAGTAGGGAAAATTGTGAGTACATGGGAATACTCAGTAGGATACGAGTAATCATGCAATCCCGATTAATAGTATTAAATCACGCGTCAAAAATATCATACCGTCATATCATATCTTTAGAATCGGTAAGAGCTCATGTCATATCATATCATATCATCTCTTTGGTACCGGGCTGCCATTTCAAAATATCATAATCATATCATAACTTTCATGAGTATAACATTTATCAACATGAAGAAATAATTTAAACGAAATGAACCCCTTGTACATCTAATCCTACCTCATAAGATTGAATAAATTCTTGAAAGAAGAAATCCAAAATTATGTTCCAAATCTTGTAATTTTTTTCATGGCTGCCTTAGAGTGAAAACTACCTTTCGGGACCCTTTTTGTTCATTATTTATGCTGGAAACAATTACCCAATTTGAAACTGCCATCCTACATATACATATGCTGTGTGGAGTATTTTGGTGCAAGTTGAATTCTAGAGTGGTGAAAACGTGTGCCACAAGAAACTTGGATAAAGGCCTCAAATGATAAACTTATCCAAATAATTTAGGAAGACAGTTAAACATTTCTTATGAATGTGAAACGTGGCTGGTGGTGGAAAGTTATAATATACATTGTTTGTGATTAGGATGGATTTAACACTAACCAAGTGGAAGGCTCAAAGATAAATACCCATTAAATTAATTAAAATACTATAAAACATCAATTTTTTTTAAATGTCAATATCTTAGGCTTAAATTATTCAAATCAACTTTTTCTCGAGCCTAACATGCATGATTAATTATGATCTATCCAACGAGCCCAATATTCATATACAAATTATTACTCCGTCAATATCTACATTTTAACCCAAATGAAATTGAAATTTGCTATATACATTTTAGTCCCTAACTTTTCGAAATATTAAAATATAGCACACATAACTTAAATTCTATTTTATGAATTTTCGGGACATTACACTCTCCACTCCTTAAAATATTTTCGTCCTCGAAAATTTACCTTGGCTAATCGAAGAGCTCTGGATACTTGGTTCCAAGCTCTTCTTCCTTCTCCCATGTTGACTCTTCTAGTCCATGATTTCGCCATTGCACTTTGATCAGGGGAACTTCTCTGTTTCTGAGTTGGTGTACTTTTCTTTCCAGAATCATCTTTGGAATTTCTTCATATGATAGATCTTTTTGTACCTCCAAGGCTTGGTAACTTACCACGTGATTGGGATCATGGAAATATTTTCTGAGCATCAAAACATGGAACTCATTATGCACTGCTGCAAGTCCAGGTGGTAAGGCAAGTCGGTAAGCCAAAACACCAATCCTTTCCAAAATCTCGAAAGGTCCAATGAACCACAGTCTCAACTTCCCTTTCTTTCCAAATCTCAATACACCCTTCATTGGTGCTACCTTTAGAAAAACCTTGTCGCCCACTTAAAATTCTAAATCCTTTCTTCTACTATCAGCATAACTTTTTTGACGGTCTTGTGCTACGTTTATTCTTGCTCTAATTTTATCAACTGCCTCAACTGTTCGTTCAATGATTTCGGGACCTAAAATTCTGTTCTCCCCAACCTCGTCCCAATGGATAGGGATCTGCACTTTCTACCATAAAGAGCTTCATATGGGGCCATACCTATAGTGGCCTGAAAACTATTATTGTAAGCAAACTCCACTAAAGGTAGGTGTGTTTCCCAATTACCACCAAGATCTAAAATACATGCCCCCAACATATCTTCCAGGGTTTGGATGGTTCTTTCTGATTGTCCATACGTCTGAGGATGACAAGCAGTACTAAACTTCAATTTTGTCCCCATAGCAACCTGCTAGCTATTCCAAAATTTTGATGTGAACCTCGGGTCTCTATCTGAAATAATGGTGACAGGAACTCCATGCAATCTGATTATTTCCCTAATGTATAATTATGCAAGCTGTTCCATATTGAAATTTACTTTGATTGACAGAAAATGGGCTGATTTTGTCAAACGATCAACCATTACCCAAATAGCATTGTGACCTCTTACTGATTTTCGGAAGACCTACTATGAAGTCCATCGTTATGTGTTCCCATTTCCATTCTGGAATATCCAATGGTTTCAATAGTCCTGATGGTCTTTGATGTTCTGCCTTGACCTGCTGACAGATAATACATTTTTCAACGAATAGACCAATTCCTCTCTTCATGTTTCTCCACCAAAATGTGTCTCGGAGATCTCGATACATTTTCATACCACCTGGATGTGCCAAATACAGAGTAGAGTGAGCCTCTTCCAATATCTTATTTCTTATACTTTCATCTTTAGGTACACACAACCTTCCTTTAAAAGTCAATACTTTATCTACAGATGCTTCAAATCCTATATGTTTGTTTGTACCAATCTCAGCTTTAATCTTTTGTAAAAACGGATCCTTGTCCTGTGCTTCTTTAATTCGATCCCGAAGAGTGGGTTGAATCATAAATGTTCTTATTCTTGCTATAGTCTGAGTTGGTGGTGTGATGACTTCCAATCTTAGTTTTTCAAAGTCCTTTATCAAGTGTTCCTGCACCGTAGGTAAAACTGCTTACTGCAATCCCATCTTTCTGCTTAAGGCATCTGCCACTGCATTAGCCTTACCCGGATGGTAATGAATCGTGCAGTCATAATCTTTCACTAACTCCAACCATCTCCTCTGCCTCATATTCAGTTCATTCTATGTGAAAAAGTATTTGAGACTCTTGTGATTTGTATAAATTTCACACTTCCCACCATAGAGATAATGACGCCATATCTTTAAGGCGTGAACTACTGCTGCAAGCTCTAAATCATGCGTTGAATAGTTTTGCTCATACTGTTTCAACTGTCTAGAGGCGTAAGCAACCACTTTTCCATGCTGCATCAATACACAGCCTAAACCCTATTTGGAGGCATCGCTATAAACCAAAAATCCATCCGAGCCCTCTGGTATTGTCAATACTGGAGCTGAAACTAGCCTTTGCTTGAGTTCTTGAAAACATTTTTCATGTTTTTCTGTCCACTGAAACTTTACACCTTTTCTTGTTAACTGAGTCATTGGTCCTGCTATTTTTGAGAAGCCTTCAATGAATCTTCGGTAATAGCCAGCCAATCCCAAGAAATTGAGGACTTCACCCACACTGGTCGGACTTGGCCAATTTGTTACTGCTTCCACCTTAGTAGAATCTACTTCGATTCCTTGGGCGGTAACCACATGACCAAGGAAACCTACGCGATCAAGCCAAAATTCACACTTCTTGAATTTAGCATATAATTTCTCCTTCCTCAAAGTCTCAAGTACTATTCGGAGTTGTTCATCATCGGCTTATTATCTTTATAGTATACGAGTATGTCGTCAATAAATACTATGACAAACTGATCTAAGTACTGATGGAACACTCTGTTCATGAGATCCATAAATACAGCTGGAGCATTGGTCAAAACAAAAGGCATGATAGTGAATTCATAATGCCCATACCGAGTCCTGAAAGTAGTTTTCGGTATATCGCTTGCCCTAATTTTCAGTTGATGATACCCTGACCTCAAGTCGATCTTTGAAAACACCGAAGCACCCCTTAACTGGTCAAACAAATCTTCTATTCTTGGCAACGGATACTTATTTTTGATGGTCAGATGGTTCAATTCGCGATGGTCAATGCACATCCTCATACTCCCATCCTTTTTCTTGACAAAAAGTACCGGAGCTCCCCAAGGAGATACACTCGATCGAACGAAACCTTTCTCCAACAATTTCTCCAATTGCAACTTCAATTCTTGAAGTTCTTTCAGTGCCATTCTGTACGGGGCCTTAGATATTGGCGCTGCTCTAGGGATTAAATCAATTGAAAATTCCACTTGCCTACCTGGTGGAATGCCTGGAAAATCTTCTAGGAACACATCTGCAAAGTCTCGCACGATATTAATATCGTTAACAGTCATTTCTATATGTTGAGAACCGATAATGTTAACTAAGAATCCCTGGCATGACTCCTTTCTTAACATCTTCTTCGCTTGCATAGCTGATATAAGACGAGGTAGGGACTTGAACTTTGCTCCAAAGAAATGAAATTCTTCCTCTCCTGATTTGTGAAACAATACTTCTTTCTCATGACATCGAATGGTCGCACGATTAAGTCCCAACCAATCCATGTCCAAAATAACATCGAAATCTTTCATGTCCAAAAGGTATAAGTCTGCTTGTAATATTTTCCCCTTCAATCTCTAACTTCATAGCCTTTGTCATCCGATTTGTACAAAGAGTTCTTCCTGAAGGGATGCTAACCTCTAATTCATAATTCGTTTTCACACATGCAAGGTTTGACCTAGCGACGAAGGATGTAGAGATAAAAGAATTGGTAGCCCCAGAATCAAAAAGTACGTAAGCGGGTACATTAGATAATAACAGAATACCTGTTTGTAATTATAGTGTTAGACTAGCAACTAAGGGACAGAGATAAAATAATGTATGGTCATAGGTAAAAAGAACATAAGCATGTATGTTGAAAATATTAATAGTAAGATACCTGCAATCACATTTAGATCCTGCTCCACCTCATGCTGATTCAGTGCAAAAACTCGAGCCTTTGCTTTCTTATTCTTGTCTTGATCATCATCTATCTTCTTTGGAGGCTCTGTGCAGTTGAGAGCAATGTGTCCGAGATTACCACACCGGAAACACATGTTCTTCCCAAGTAAACATTCACCCCTGTGGAGTTTATTACATTTAGGACAGGGTGTAATACTCTCACTCATCCCACCAATACGAACTCCTGTGCTTGGCCTTTTATTGTACCAGTTATGTCTGTTCTTGCTTTGATCACTCCACTTCCTTTTCCCCAATGACTCCTTGCTCTGCTAGGCATACTGTTCAAATGAGGTCCTCTTATATGAAATAGCATGAGCCCTCTCCAACATTTCACGATATGAGGTGAAACGCTGGGACATAATGATCATGCCGATCTCAGGGCGCAGTCCATTCTCAAACCTCCTAATCTTTTTAACTTCTGTATCCACCAAGTGCGGGGCATACCTTAAGAGCTGCTCAAATTGTCTTTCACAATCAGTAAGTAAGTGACATATTCCCCTGTCTGAGCTGCAGAAATTCTGATTCCTTGAAGTCCCTCAAAGCCTATGGGAAATATTTTACCATCACTTCATCTTTAAACTGCTCCCAAGCCAGATTACGTTGCTGCTCTTCCATCCTTGTACGTGAAACAGATTCCCACCAGTGATCAGCTGCTCCAATCAACATAAATTCTACGCATAATACTTTCTGTGCATTCGTACAAGCAATGCGTCGAAATATGCGCTCCAAGCCTCTTATCCACTCTTCGACAACCAATGGTTCAAAATTACCGTCGAAAGTAGAAGGCTTGTATCTACGAAATTGCTCAACCATTGAGACAGCTCCAGGGGCAAAATGTGGTGCATTCTGCTGTGGCAGTGCATTTTGTGGTGGAGGTGCTTGATTTTGCCTACTCAACTCTTGTACCGCTCGTAGTAAATTGCACATCAAATTCATATGAGTAGGTGGTGCCATTTCCTAAAATTTAATATGAAGTTACGATCACATTTTAGCACTAAGTCTATCACGTTATACTTATTTTTATCGTAATACATATCATCGATTTAGTGGGGAAATAGAGTGCATGTCTTAAAGATTTAGAAGTAGGCAATCTAAAATATTGAAATGATCGCATGATATTAATATCGTTAACAGTCCGTTTTGGGCCCATCACCCCATTTCGAAATGCTCACGACTATTCTAAATGAACTCAATGCTTTTCCTTAATGTATGATAGATTTTGGTAGTTTGAATTCATGTGGAAGAATGGATGCTTGCATGCGTGGAACGCTTGGATTGTCGACGTTTGAAGAAATTGGCATAACTTTCGCATACGCTGTCCATTTTGGGCCCATAATCCTCACATTTTGAAAGCTTACGATGATTCTAAATGAACTCATAGCTTCACCATGATGTATGATGGATTTTAGCAGTTTGAATTCACATAGAAAAATAGGCGTTTGCGTACATAAAATGCTTGGATTGTCGACATTCGAAGAAATTGGCATAACTTTCGCATACGGTGTCCGTTTTGGGCCCATAAACGTCAACATTTTGAAAAGCTCATGACAATTCTGAATGAACTCATAGCTTCACAGTAATGTGTGATGGATTTTGTCAGTTTGAATTCGTGTAGAAGAATAGGCAGTTGCGTACATGGAAATCTTAGATTATCGACATTCGAAGAAATTGGCATAACTTTTGCGTACGGTGTCCATTTTGGGCCCATAACCCCATTTCGGAAAGCTCACTATGATTTTGAATGATCAAATAGCTTCACCATGATGTATGATGGATTTTAGCTGTTTGAATTCATATGAAAAAATAGGTATTTACGTACATAGAATGCTTGGATGGTCGATGTTCAATGAAATTGGCATAAATTTTGTATACGGTGTCCGTTTTAGGCCCATAACCCCATTTCGGAAAGCTCACAATGATTCTGAATGAACTCATAGCTTCACCATGATGTATGATGGAAGAATAGGTGCTTGCATACATGGAACGCTTGGATTGTCGACATTCGAAGAAATTGGCATAACTTCTGTATACAGTGTCCATTTTTGGCCCATAAGACCATTTCAAAAATCTCACAATGATTTTGAATGAACTCATAGCTTAGGTATAACGTATGATTGATTTTATTAGTTTGAATTTGTATGGAAAAATAGGCGCTTGCGTACATGGAAAGCTTGGATTGTCAACGTTCGAAGAAATTGACATAACTTTCGCATACGGTGTCCGTTTTGAGCGCATAACGCAATTTCGAAAAGCTCACAATGATTCTAAATGAAGTCGCTTCTTTTCCATGATATATGATGGATTTTGACAGTTTGAATTCATTTGGAATAATAGACGCTTGCGTACATGGAACGCTTGGATCGTCGACATTCAAAGAAATTGACATAACTTTCGCATATGGTGTCCGTTTTGGGCCCATAACCCTCCACATTTCGAAGAGCTCACGACAATTTAGAATGAACCCATAGCTTCACCATGACATATGATGGATTTTGGCAGTTTGAATTCATGTGGAAGAATAGGCGCTTGCGTACATGAAACGCTTGGATTGTCAACGTTCGAAGAAGTCGGCGTAAATTTCGCATACGGTGTCCGTTTTGGGCCCATAGCCTATTTTGAAAAGTTCACGATGATTTTGAATGAACTCATAGCTTTGCCAAGATGTATGATAGATTTTGGCACTTTAAATTCGTGTGGAAGAATAGGCGCTTGTGTAACGCCCCGACCCCTAGTGGATCGGAACGCTACTTACTTTACTTAGCTTAACCCGTGGTTTAGTAACAAGTGTATATGTTTTAGCGGAAGCTTACATCTTTGGATAATAATTTAAATAACAATACTTCAAATACTTTAAACAAAAACACTGAATCATTTTTCAAAACAAAAAAATGTAATTTATTTGAAGAAAACATAACTTGTTCTCGCATTCTGCATTATTCAAAACTTTAAAGAAATAACAATGAAAAACATTTCATAAAAATAAATCCAAATCACTTATTCACCAGATTTTCATGGGCTCATTGCACCACTCTCCATCTTCTCCTCCATCCATGCCCGAGGTAGAATTCCTTCAATCTATAGAGATGAGATTAAACCCGTGAGTTAAAAAACTCAATAGGTGTCATAGGCGCATTCATGATCAAGCTATACATTTCAAAACATTAACTTTATAACTTTTCATACATACCGTACCCGGAGGCACCATTTCACATGAAGGGGTATGCCATACCCGAGAGCACCATTTAACATACGAACATTTCTTCAACATAGAGGGGTATGCCGTACCAGAGTACCATTTGACATACAACCATTAACATAGAAGGATATGCCGTACCGGAGTACCATTTGACATACAAATATTAACATGAATCGAAACTTATAACTTAACACGATTAAACACATTGCACCTCTACCTACCTTGATTGATGCTTTTGAAAACTTGAATTGAAAACTTCGATGAAACTTGGACGTTGAAAGAAATGCACTCCTTGGATGTTTGAAAACCGTTGAGAATTGATGCTTGAAGACAGTCCTTGATAGCACCCAAAACTTATATGAAAAATGCTTGAAAACCCTTCTTCAACTTCTAGGAAAAATAGTTTTCCTCCCTCTCTTTTTCTCTCTTGGAAACTCTTTCTTTAGTATGTAAAAGCTCTTGCTTTTGGTATGAGAAAAATGAGTGAAATGAGTCTCTATTTATAGGTAAATATCCCATAACTTAAAGCAAATGAATGGTCAAATTTCATTTAAAAGAGAAAACATGGGTGCCATTTAAATTTGAGGTTAAATGGTTCAATTTAGTGGGGTTTTTATTGCCAAAAATGTGGGTGGCCCTTTGAGAAAATAATTGATGAAAATAAATATTTAAATTCTAGAGAAAAACAAGAATTTTCATTTCAGGCAATTTCGGTCGACCGGTTGTAGTCCGGTTTACACTGCACAGCATTCAGTGTTTCTATCATAACTTCTTCTCCTGCTATCCGATTGAGTTAATTCGAAGTGCATTGGAAAGATAACTCAAAGAGCTACAACTTTTATTTATATATCATCTTCTAAATCGAATGTTTCCTATGTCGAAAATGGGTCTCAAATGAGACTAAAAATCTGAAGTATACTTTAGTCATCCAATATTCATGTCTTAATGTCACTAAGGTGTCTAGAATTATTTGGGGTTCTATAGCTTGCATACATGAAATGCTTGGATTGTTGATGTTTGATGAAATTGGCATAATTTTCGCATACGGTATCTTTTTTGGGCCCATAAGACCGCTTCGAAAAGTTCACAATGATTTTGAATGAACTCATAGCTTAGACATGATGTATGACTGATTTTGGCGGTTTAAATTCGGGTGGAAGAACAGGCGCTTGCGTACATGGAATACTTAGATTGTCGACATTCGAAGAAATTGGCATAACTTTCGTGTACGGTGTCCGTTTTGGGCCCGTAGTACCATTTTGGAGAGCTTACGATGATTCTAGATGAACTCACATCTTTTCCATTATGTATGATGGATTTTGACAGTTTCAATTCGTCTGAAACAACAGACGCTTGCGTACATGGAACGCTTGGATTGTCGGCATTCAAAAAAATTGGTATAACTTTTGTATACGGTGTACGTTTTGGGACAATAAACCAATTTCGGAAAGCTCACAACAATTTTGAGTGAACTCAACAATTATTGTAATGTATAAAGGATATTAGCAGTTTGAATTCGTGTGGAAGAACAGGCGCTTGCGTACATGGAACGCTTGGATTGTCGACGTTCGAAGAAATTGGCATGACTTTCGCATATGGTGTTCATTTTGGGCCCATAACCCTCTACATTTCGAAAAGCTTACGACGATTTTGAATAAAATCGTAGCTTCGAGGTGACGTACGATGGATTTTGGCAGTTTGAACTCGTGTAGAAGAACAGGCATTGGCGTACATGGAACGCTTCGATTGTCGACGTTCGAAGAAATTGACATAACTTTCGCATACGGTTTCGATTTTGGGCCCATAACCCCATTTCAGAAAGTTTATGACGATTCTGAATGAATGAAAAGCTTCACTGTGACGTATTATGGATTTTGGAAGTTTGAATTCGTGTGGAAGAATAGATGCATGCATACGTGGAACGGGATTGTCGACGTTTGAAGAAATTGGCATAACTTTCGCATAGGGTGTCCGTTTTGGGCCCATAAGACCATTTTGAAAAGCACACAATGATTTTGATTGAACTTATATCTTACCCATCACGTATGATTGGTTTTGGTAGTTACATTTCATGTCGAAGAATAGGCAATTGCGTACATGGAACGTTTTGATTGTCGACGTCTGAAGAAATTAGCATAACTATTGCATACGGTGTCCATTTTTGGGCTATAAACCCATTTTGAAAAGCTCTCAATGATTCTAGATGAACTCGCATCTTTTCTATGATGTATGATGGATTTCGACAATTTGAATTCGTCTGGAACAATAGATGCTTGCGTACATAGAATTCTTGGATTGACAACGTTCAAAGAAATTGGTATAACTTTCACATACGGTGTCCATTTTGGGCCCATAACCCCATTTCAAAAAGCTCATGATGATTTTGAATGAACAAATAGCTTCATTGTGATGTATGATGGATTTTGGCAGTTTGAATTCGTGTGAAAGAACAGGCGCTTGTGTACATGGAACGCTTGGATTGTTGACGTTTGAAGAAATTGGCATAACTTTCGCATATAGTGTCCATTTTAGGACCATAACCCCATTTCGGAAAGCTCACGATGATTCTGAATGAACTCATAGTTTTGCCATGATGTCTTATTGATTTTGGCACTTTAAATTCATGTGGAAGAACTGGCGATTGCTTACATGGAATGCTTGGACTATCGACGTTCGAAGAAATTGGCATAACTTTTGCATACGGGGTCCGTTTTGGGACCATGAACTAATTTTAGAAAGCTCCCGATGATTCTGAATG